GGGGGGGGGGGGGGGGGGGGGGGGGGGGGGGGGGGGGGGGGGGGGGGGGGGGGGGGGGGGGGGGGGGGGGGGGGGGGGGGGGGGGGGGGGGGGGGGGTGTCTTTACTGCGATCCATTGCAAGATAATAATCATGTTATTGCACGTGATGCAAATTTATTGTTTTGCTTCTGTGATCTTTGTATTCTATTAAAATAGGGACCTATCAGATGTGTTTTGACGACGTTACATATTTGAAGAAATTCTTAAATCTACTGTACAGATCCAAAACTATGTTGATTAATTGTATAATCTCTATGTTCTTGCATTTAAGGTTTTTGTTGGTATGTTTTCTCATTAGGAGGATTGCTTTTATTGCATTGGAAGGCTTATTAGTATGTTTTTCTCACTGGAAGGATGTCTAAATTTGACCTCTCTTTTTCTGATTGAATCTCTGAGACCTTTGGATATATCTTTTTTCTTTGTCATCTAAGTTTCATCATTGAGTTTTTTCTTATTAATTTTAGGTTCCGCCTGTACCAAGTGAATCCCTTCCTGAGAGACCAGGAGAGCCTGACTGTCCTGTAAGTGTGTATTGAAAATTTTCTGTTCTTTTATATTACATGGTGGTCCGTATTAACACATTTCTTTTTGTGCGTTAAACATGCTCCAGTATTTTCTGAAGACTCAAAGATGCAAGTTTGGTATTAGGTGCAAATTCAACCACCCAAAAGATAGAGTAGTCCCCCAGGTAGATTTCTTTGCCCAGGTTTAGTTCCACTCCTTTTAATGTGACGAATCTTATGACTATTCCAACTTGTTGCTTCTATTTTTGCTTCAGGGTGCTCCAGATAATGCTGATGTCTCTGCCTTACCTGAGAGGCCCTCAGAACTTCCATGTGCGGTATGATATTAGATTTTTCTCATGAGTACATTGCATTATAGAACTAATTATTAAACTTCATTTGATTGAACCAGTTCTATATGAAGACTGGAAAGTGTAAATTCGGCTTATCCTGCAAATTTCATCACCCTAAAGGCGTGGAAGTGCAATCAGCTGGAGAACAATATGCCACTGCGCTCCAGAATGAAATATCTGGAGATTCAAAGCCAGTGCAGCCACTTTATAGCCCAGCATTGTTGCATAACACCAAAGGTCTTCCTATTAGACCGGTAATTTTTATCTTAATATCAAGCTTATTAAAATTATAATCCATTGATATTATAAATAAACTTCTGAAATTTGAATGACCTGATGGGCATCTCATTGAATGATCAGTAAGTCTCTTGGCAAGTTTGTCATGATTTTTAGGAGTATCTTAGTTTTAGCGGATGTTCTATTCATCATCTTTGGGCAAAAATCACCCTCGCAGCTTCAAATTTCTCCATTTTATTGCTGATAACCATGAAATTGGAATTTAATACACAAGCATTATAAAAATTAATAGACCATTGGGTACACTTTCTTATATGCTGGTATATATATAGCAGAGTCCTTAAAATGTTGACTTTTCAAACTAATCACGAATTGTTCGTCTCTTTTTATAAATGATCTCAATCCCCATCCTCAGGCAAGGCAAGAGAATCAGAGATTTTCCCCTATACACAACTTCACTTCCGTCAATACTCTACTTTTTCATTGTTTCGTGAAGCCATCTTGCTATCATGGTGAGCGCGAGTTTTTCGGTATTTGGAGCTGGACCATATGGTTGTCATGCGAAAATTTTTACCTTTTTAGTTTGTTCTGGTGATTGGATAATTAAAAGGATTCGATCCAACGCCAAAGAGGGTATTATGATAATTCTGTCTCCATGAGGCTGTTAACAATTACATTTATTGGAGGCTGGGGAAACATTTCAGTGCTGTTTGATGGTTGACTGGACTTCCTTCCTATGTTGTTTTGGGAAATTTATTTCAGAATTGAAATCAATAAATTTATTATCTCTCTCCTGAACTATACATGTTACCAAATAGGTCAAAATTCATACCTTCTTTTTGGTTCATAAAAATTTGCCTTTAAATGTACTCTTCACTTATTTGCTTGCAGGGTGAAGTTGATTGCCCATTTTACCTAAAAACTGGCAGGTCAGTACTCTGTGTAACAACTGGAACACTTATCTTTGAAGAGAAAAATAGTGAGGATATCTGATAGCTTTGAAATGTCTTGTTTAATTAATCAGCTGCAAGTACGGTACCACATGCCGCTACAATCATCCTGATAGAAATGGTAATTGGGCGTGTACACCATGTTTTGACATTTTTCGGTTGAACTAATGTTTCAAATGTTGAACTTTCAAAGTATTTTTTATTTTTACTTAGTAATCAACCCTCTTGCAGCTGCTATTGCACCTGTTATAGCTTCTCCTCCTCCACATTTTAGCTTTGGAGCTATTACTCCAGCGACCTCTCTCCTTCCAACTTTTAATCCTAGGCTGACTCAGACATCGGTAAAGTGGAAATTGTTTAACGAAAGAAGGCCAAGTGTTATAGGGTATGTATGGAATTGATTAATTGACATTGTTGAGTGTCTGATATTTTGCACATTGCAGTTTATCGTAGATTTTTATATTGCTTTGCAATGGTTGTTTCTTATCTTTTCATTGATGAGCTCATAAATATTTTAAGATTTTTATGAATTGATCGGAACTTATCGTGTCCCTATTAAGCTAAGTTTATGATATGAACTGAACCATCTTATACAGTTTTCTGCTGTTAGTTTACTTAACATAATTATTGCAGAATATTGATAATATATATGGTACCAAAAGTATCAAGAGCATGTTTGGCTAAGATAAAAATCGGATTAAAATTGAAAAATTAGCCGTTATTGTTGACTTTTATTAGACGAGTGAGATCCAATAACGGCTATATTTTCAATTTTAATTGAATTTTAATCTTAGTCAAACATGCTCTAAGACTCATTTGATCTGCAAGGTCATGTTGCTTGTGTCTCTGATATTGCTTGTTCTATCTTTTGAGTGTTTATGTGATTTTGTGCTAGATAGAATGTGCAATTTTAATAATTTGAAGTTCTACTCATGAATGTTTATTTGTTTGCCTGCTGCAGCTAGGATTGGTCCCAACTATTTACCCGCAGCGACCTGGACAGCTGGAATGTGATGTGCGTGTCCGCTTGATTTTCATTTAGTTCATTGATATCTGCTTTAGGAGTAATTTAGCGTGCAGTAGTATGATTTTCCCTTTGGATTTTTTGTTGCGGACATTACTGTCTATGTTTTGGTCTTACAGTGAAGGTGTCAGCCTCTACTATATAAGCTGAAAGGAAATATATGTTCACTTCGAAGTGCTTTATGCAACTGAATCAGCAATCTTGCAACGAAGTTTCTTTAGATATCTGTCTCCACTATTTTCAGTGCCAGCCACTTGATATGTTTCACAGTTTAGGTCTAGTAAATGCTGTTAAGAATATGTATATGTTCTATAAATCTTCTTTGTAGTGGAGCACTTTGGACGAGAATAATTTAAATACCTATCTGTTTGAAGCTCTATGCTCACTTCTATGTCTCCACAAGTTCATTTTTCATATCCTGATCCTCTCTCTCTCTTTTTTTTTATTATTTCTTTCTTTCTGTTTAGTACTATATGAAAACTGGAATATGCAAGTTTGGAGAAAACTGCAAGTTTCACCATCCTATTGATCGTTCAGCACCTACAGCATCAGCAAAAGAGTCTCTGCAGCAAAATGTCGAACTCACTCTTGCAGGCCTACCAAGAAGAGAGGTATCCTCTGAGCCTAATATGGTAATTATAAAACCTTTTGGTTTGTAGTGGGAAATGCAGTTGATGTCCGAAGAAAACTGTAATTGGAAATTGCTTTTGCTTCTCTTAAATGTAAATGCGCTTTGTGAAGGTCCTACATTGCCTACTTTTAATAATTCTGTTCTTGAACATGTTTTACCCCAGTGAATGAGGTCATATGCTGGAACAAAGTAGTGATTGTTTTCTGCTCTTGAAATAGATCAATGTTGAATTGATCAATTTGCTTGAAGTGGCAGTGGGCAATCAATTGATTCATTTTGTTGTTGTGCTTCTATTTTTGATTTTTGGGATCAGTGGACGCTCAATGACTATCTGGATTGACTAATGCTGCTAGTTTTTGCTTGGGATGGATGAAAATGGATAAGTGAAATTTAGTTTCTGCTCCTTGTTGCAACTCTATGTGAAGAAATTATCATTATTGTATGTTGGAACAGTTTGCTAATAGTTGTGAAGTAATAATATCTTCTTGTTATGTTACCTCGAACATTTATATTGTTGCATATTTTGAGAAAAACATAATTCTAAAGGTGAAATAGTGAAACAGAATATAATTAAAAAAAATATATATATATTGGCACATCTTACCTGTCTGCCAGCCACCATTAGGTATCAGTGGTGATGGTCTTGCATTTCTAATTTGTTTCTTGCTAATATCCACTTCTCGAATCTCTTCTGTAGTTGGTGGGGTGTTTATGTCGTTCTTTTATATAGTTACAGAACCAACTATTATTTTGATTTTGTTTTGTAGGGTGCAATACACTGCCCATATTATATGAAGACTGGGACATGCAAGTATGGAGCAACATGCAAATTTGACCACCCACCCCCTGGAGAGGTCTTGGCAATGGCAACATCACAAGGGGCCTCGGCTGCAGGAGAGGAAGTGGAAGAGAATGGAGAGGAGGCTTAAGCTATTAAACGTAGCAACAGAATTTTCCTTAAACTAGCCAAAGATGTTTTCTTCTGGCTTCTTTTTCCCTTCATCCTTTAATGTATCCTGGACATTGTGTTCCATGAACTATTTGTTGGAAAATCCAGTATGCTGATGGGCATGGATTTTGGCTTTTTCGCTTATTGACAATTAGTTGTGAAAAAATGTCTGCTTGCTCTATTGACCTTGTTGGGCATGGTTTTTGGCTTTTTGGCTTTTTGACAATTAGTTGTGAAAAAATGTCTGCTTGCTCTATTGACCATAGGTTTGTGTGAAATGTAGTAGGGATTCTGCATTTGGAAATGTTCTCCTGACATAGTCTCGTTGTATATGTTTTAGGCTGTTCTATTTGACGTGAGCGAACGTGGAATTTGATATAACTGAAGTGGAGAGAACGTGCCTGCTGGACTACTGAAAAATGTTCACACTTGTCGAGAGGCACTTTAGCTGATACATAGAAATCTGTAATTTTTATCAATTTTTTAACTATACGTTTCATTAAATTTTTTTTAATCAAAAATGCCTAAAAATTACCATACGCATAAGGAACCCCATACGTTATGCCCTTGTTTGAGGCTAAACCAAGGTTTTTTTATCGAAAATTTTGTAAAAAAATGATTTTCTTAAGATATGTGAGTTAAAAGTAGGAAATATTTTGAATTTATGATGTTTTAGGCCATGTTTAATTTAATTTAAAATTTTAATTAAAATTTAAATCAAAGTGAATTGTTAATTTTAATCATAAATTTATGTACCTAAGCAACTTTTATTGAACTTTTCTCAGAATTTAATTTTAGCAAAAGTAAATAGGGATTTATTGATATTTGATTGAAAATGAATTTGAATGAAAAATAAGTTTTTCATGGCTACAGGGCCGTTGTGGCGTGGCATCACGAGAGCTACGAATTTCCATGGTTGTATTTACAGGGTTAATTCGCTTTGCCAATTTTCTAATTATTTTCTTCCAAAATCAAGAAGCCAGTAATATTTCTTCTGAAGAGGCGGGAAAAGGCGTCCAATTTGTTTGCTCCTATCCTATGTTGTCAATGTTGAGCAAAATGGTGGGCGTCGAATCCCCAGCACAGTTACCACTAACCTTCAATCTTGCTCAAGCTAGATCATCTGCAAGTAGCATCATTATCAGTAGGCCAATTAGTTGCTCCAATCGCAACAAGAATCTGAATCACGAGTTTTACCGTTTCACGTTAAAGCCTCATTATGCATCAATTTTCACTTCGGTTCGGAGGCAAAATCCTAATCCCGCTCCATTTACAGCTTTTGTTAGTAATACGTCTTTCGACACCCCGCAACAACCTCCCGACTCTAAACCAAATCTGGTTCATTCTTTAATTTTGATTTTAGTGCTCCTATTTGAACTTTTGTTGATATTTTTTGGGCAATTCTTGAAAATGTGTTTTATGGTGTTGGGAGGAGGATGCACCAAGAAAGGTTCCAGATGTTCAAACGCTGGTGAAGAGGTTCTGGAAAGTGGCCGCTCCATATTGGTTTTCGGATGATAAAATTCAGCATTCAGGCGAGATGGTGGCTAGCTACTGTTTTTGCTCTCACTTTAGGAACTACTGGAATTAGTGTTACAATCATTTTTCTTGGTCGTGAATTTTTTAATGCCATTGCAAGTATACTTCTTAATTTTCCTTTTATATTGTGGATGATAACATTTTTCCTGTAGAATGATGGTAATCATTTTTGTTTCTGTTGATTCATGGAAGACAAGGACCAAGAACAGTTCACTACACAGTTGTTGTTCTACCTAGCTGTTTTCGCTGGTGGAATTCCTGTGAGCACATTGCTCCGCTTTCTTAGGTATTCCTCCAGTTAGTCTTTTCAGCATTCTTGAGTGGATGTGGCAAATGCTCCATAGGAGAATTCAGTTTGCTTGTAGCTTATTCTTTAGTTATTATCCTGGCAATTATATCATAATCCTGTCTTTGGAGAATATCATCCTAGTAGCATGAGAAATAAATTGTAAAGCCGTGGATGATTCAATTAGTCCCTCTGTGAACGCTGAACAGTATACTGGTTCTTTTGATCATTTCCTCATTAAAAGAATTAGATGTAGTTTGTTGTCCTATTATTTCCCTATGGTTCCATGGGTATGAGACTTAGCATGGAAAGGCAAATATGAAAGAAAAATGGGATAGAAAAATTTCTCTTCCCTTTTCTCTCTTATCAAATTAAAAATATTAGGAATGTTTTCCCACGTATTAGGAAAGTCACGGAGATTGAAAATGTAAATGTTTGAATTTATTTTAAAAAAACCCTCGCTTAGGTATGCTTGTCGTTTCATTTTCTTGTGTTTTTCGTTGTAACTGGACAAGGGAGAGGTTTTTATGGTATTTTGGTTTTAGTTCATCGTCTTCATCTTCACTGAATACATTATGCAAACGGACTCTACAATGTTATTGTGGTCAATCAATACTTCTTCACCTGTTCTTAATATGATATAGTGATCAACTCTGTTGATTTTATGACCGAATGCTATTCTTAATATTGTCTTGCAGGTATTTGTTCTGAGGGATTATGCAAAAGATAACTCTTTCTTTGAGATGGAGATCTTGGATGACAAGCTATTACATGGATCGCTATCTAAAGAATTGAACATTTTATAAAATACAATCTCAATCAATTATTGATAACCCCAATCAACGAATTGTTGATGATTTAAGTTCCTTTACAGGAACGGCTCTTGCATTTTCATTGACACTCTTCAATGCTACAATGGACTTGATATCTTTCAGTAATATATTATATGGTATTTATCCACCTCTTTTTATTGTCCTTCTGGCATACTCACTTGGTGGAACAGCTATCAGTGTCTTCCTTGGGAGGGTAATTTTTCTTTCTTTGAAAGTTACTTGTTTCATTATAAGTACTTTCTGTATATGCTAGCGATGTATTTTTCATAGTCGGAGATATGTTTCCTTTTGATAAAGGCAGTCGGAGATAGGTTTCCTTTTGAAAAAAGAAGCCGATTTTCGTTATGGACTAGTGCGGGTTAGAGAAAACGCGGAATCAATTGCATTTTATGGTGGTGAGGAAAATGAGATGCAACTTCTGCTGCAGCGGTTCAGAAGTGCATTTGAAAATCTCACTGTATGGAAATTTTAAGACTTCTTTGTTTAGCTTTGAAATTTAATTTTCTTAATAGTTTAGGTTGAATTATGTTCTATTCCCACACCTTTTTTTTAACTGGGATATTTCGTTTCTTTTAGTATCAAATTATCACTTCAAGGGTTTTAGGCATCCTGCATTACTTCACCTAAGAGATTAGAGCGATAACGTATATGTTAAATTTGTACTCATATGAGTTACCTTTTGATCAGCATTCCCTCTACATAGCAAATGGGCACTGCATATGCTTATGAAGCGACCAGTTGATAACACAATTACAATGTTACATTTAAACCCCCCCCACCCACCCACCCACCCACACGGAAAAAATAAAGGACAAATAAAAGAAAGAAACAATGTGACAATTGAACTTCTATCTTCATGGAGACAGGAAAAAAATGTTACATTCGATTTCAGATCCTGGAATTGCATGTTCAAGCTATTCCAATCAAATTCATGACCCAATCTTGCAGTTTAACGTAATTTAATATAATGTGATAAAATTGCTGTGCAAAATTTGAAGAAAGTGGTATAGATTCACAAATCTAGTTTTTGGTACATGAATGCTGCTTGCCGAATTCCATTTCTTCAAGATTCTGACTAGATTCAGTTTCTAATTCAATTGATTTATTTTTAAACTTGGATGCAAAGGAGTGAAAATTGGGAGCTATATCTCTTCTAAGGACTGCAAAGGAGAAAATGAAATATTGCAGACAAAGGAAAAGCATAGAAAGCAAAGTGAGAATGGAGAAAAAAATTACTACCTATACCTGGTCTTACATTTTATACTACTTTTCCCATTCATATAACTCTATTTTTGTCAGTACTAATTTCTACAATCTTATAATACATATTTATTCCCATCTCCAAACTCATCTTATTATGATTCATTTATTTCTCCATCTTTAACTTTACAGAAAATGTTGATATCTTCAAGAAATCTGGTGTTCTTCACCAATGGCTACAGATTCTTCCTGCTGCAGTTGTTGCGCCCATGTATTTCTCTGGAAAAATTGAATTTGGAGTCATCAGTCAGTCTGTTTCTGCTTTTAATCAATCCTCAGAGATTTCTCTCTCATTGTGTACCAATTTCAGGCTACCAGTGCATTTTCTGCTGTCATTGACCGACTAGGTATACGCTCTTCTCTGTGGGAAACATGCTCAGTTTGCATCTCTTGATTATATGGAAGTACAAGTAGTTAGGGTAAATTGCAAATCATATCATATTCAGTCAAACATTAAGCCATCATCAATTTCATGAGAAATTTTCTTTTTCGGGTAGTGAAAATTGGGAGCTATATCTCTTCTAAGGACTGCAAAGGAGAAAATGAAATATTGCAGAAAAAGGAAAAGCATAGAAAGCAAAGTGAGAATGGAGAAAAAAATTACTACTTATACCTTGTCTTACATTGTATACTACTTTTCCCATTCATATAACTCTATTTTTGTCAGTACTAAGTTTCTACAATCTTATAATACATATTTATTCCCATCTCCAAACTCATCTTATTATGATTCATTTATTTCTCCATCTTTAACTTTACTGAAAATGTTGATATCTTCAAGAAATCTGGAGTTCTTCACCAATGGCTACAGATTCTTCCTGCTGCAGTTGTTGCGCCCATGTATTTCTCTGGAAAAATTGAATTTGGAGTCATCAGTCAGTCTGTTTCTGCTTTTAATCAATCCTCGGCGATTTTTCTCTCATTGTGTACCAATTTCAGGCTATCAGTGCATTTTCTGCTGTCATTGACTGACTAGGTATACGCTCCTCTGTGGGAAACATGCTCAGTTTGCATCTCTTGATTATATGGAAGTACAAGTAGTTAGGGTAAATTGCAAATCATATCATATTCAGTCAAACATTAAGCCATCATCAATTTCATGAGAAATTTTCTTTTTCGGGTGGGGGGGACTTAGTGAGAAAATACTTTTGGCAGATTGTGGGTTCCATTCTCTTATTAGCTACTATGGTTCAATGATCATGAATGTTAAATTGTTTTGGGGGTTCTTTCTAGGTAATCATGACAGGCATCACACCGTGATTTTTTTCTTCCCCCATGATAACTGGAGTATTCCACTTTACAAGAACAATTGAAGAAAAGAAAGAGGATCCAAGAAGAAGAAGAATTAGGACTAGAGGAAAATGAATATGTATTATTCAACGGTGTGAATTACAATGAATAAGCCCTCTATATATAGAGAGCAAATAAGCTAAAAAGAAACCAAAACCAAAATCAAATGAACTTTTAATAAACTAGAATCTCAACAAAATATTATAACTTATCTAATCTAGATGAATATATATTAAATCAAACTTTACTTTAAAGTCCTAACTAAAATCTATCTCTATCTCTATCACCATGACCATCTATACGTTTGTTTTCACCTTGGTAAAAGTCCAAATGATGGTATGTGTTGGTACCCCAAAGAACTTACAATTTACTTCACAAGTCCATCAGGTGGTTGTGATTGAAATCTCTTTGCTTCTACTCTACTAGTGCGATGACTCACCGTTGGACATCTTAAAAAGAAAAAATGGAAATCGAAAGAAAAAGTGGCTGGGTGAGAGATGTATCTGTGGGCACTAATGCAACTGGATAAAAGTTTTGATCAATTGAAAAAAAAAAAAAAAACACACTAGTATCAGGACAGCATCCAACTCTATGCCAAATTGGCATTGTACGGATGAGTAACTCTTGAAGACTTCCAATCTAGCTTTGTCTTTAGCAGGAATTTTTCTACAAAATAAGTAGCCTATGCAACTTAAAGAACTACTCTTGAGCACATCATTTTTCCATTCTGATAATGCCTTGAAGTCCTTATAGTCTCTTCTCAAACTTTATAATGTAGTGGCTTTAGGATCCCATTTATGATGAGAGAAGGAAGAGCTTCATCCTGTTTGTACATCTTTAACGGTGATGCTGGCATCAGCTGCATTTTTATCATTTGTGCTGTCATTAGCAGCTACTGGGTAGGCACAACCAAAAAACCAACAATCACTAGAGGGAAATCACACTTGGTCTATCTCATGGATATCAACTTAACTAGAATTTAAACGGATGTGTTTTGATATTATTCTATTTAAAAAGGTCAACCTTAGAAGGAGTAGTCCAAGTCCTTATATATTAGTCTATATTTTTATTTTTATTCGATTTGGAATTTGTCCCTTGACATACCAAGATAGTGGCTTGTTTGATCATACCAATCTTGAAATTCGTGTGTTCATTTTTTTGAGTCTTACTCGGATTGAATTTCTTGTTAGAGTTTAATGGACTCTAATATCATATCAAGACTTGAGGTTCCATTTTAAAAGGTCAACCTTATTAGGAGGAGTTATCCAAACCCATATATGTTGGTCTATGTTTTCATCTTTATTCGATGTGGGATTTGTCCTTTAATAGATGTAATTTCATGATGAAGTGGGTTTAGTGAAGAAAGTAATTATGGAACTTTTGACCTAGTCAATTTTGTAAGATATCATGAATTGTAAGAACCATTTTGTGACGGGGTTGAAGTTAGTGTGGGACCTAGAGGGTTGAAATTAATCGATTATTTTTATAGTTGCTTTCTGTGTGATTTAGATATTTTAAGAATACTGGCGTTAAGAATCATATTGTATCTTTGTACAAGCTAGTCATCAGCTTTTTAAGATAAAAGTTCAACAGGGTCCTAACTGATGATTTGATATGGTTGACTATCACCTAAAAGTCTAAAACTTTCTGGCTATGCTTTCGAGGGGCTAGGCTTGAGTCACTTGCAAAAAATTATTAAAGTAACCAATGGCCACTGATACTTGATCCAGATTCATCCTGCTGTAGTTGATGCACCCATGTACTTTTTTCGGAAATATTGAATTTGGAGTAATCAATCATTCCGTGTCTGCTATTAATCACATCCTCGGAGATTTTTCGCCGTACACCAAATTTAGGCTATCAGTGAATTTTCTTCTGTCAGTGACCTACTATTCTTACTATCTTCTTTGTGGGAAACACACGCTAATTTTGCATCTCTTGAATGTATGGGAGTAAAAGAAGCTTTTAAGGTAAATTGCAAATCATATTGTATACAGTCAAAAACATCATTCCACTGTCACTATCTTGAGAAAATTTCCTTTGTAAGGAGGGAACTTTGTGAAAGAATAATTTGGCAGATCGTGGTTTCATTCTTGTATTTGCAATTACTGTTCAGTTCATGAATGTTACATAGTTTTGGGGTTCTTCATATGTAATCCTGACCAACATCACACCATGATTTTCTTCCCAGAAGGCTAACAACTGGAGCATTTCACTTTCACTTTCACCCTTCGACACTGTTCTGATCTATCAGATCAACACCCTTATCTTTGAAATTACCACATCTATATATTAGTTTTTACTTTGGTACATATTGTTGGGTACCCCAAAGAACTTAAGATTAATTTCACAAGTCCTTAACATTGTGACTGCAATCTCTTCACATCCACTCTACGAGTGCAATGTGCTCACATGTGGATGACTAGGGGTATCAACTGCCGAGTCCATGGAGGGGCCAACCCGGCCCTCTCACTATAGCAGCCCGTGGATGCTTATAAAATAGGGGCTGCTAAATGCTTCCTCTAGTTTTCTTAATTTTTTTTTGAAAAGGCTATGCCCTATAGACCGGCCCTTCTCGTACCTGAGGCCCAGCACAGCCCGCGCCACCAGGTGGACTGGACCTGGGCAGGCTCGTCATGGGGCCCTGGGGCTGAATCCATAGCAGTTGGCACCCCTAGGGCATGGCAATAAAAGAGATGTATTTATGGTCACCAATCCAAATGAGTAGTTGTTTGATGGATAGACATAGCATCCAACTCTATGCCAAATTTCCATTATGTGGAGGAGTATCTCTTAAAGAATTCTAATCTGGCTTGGTGTTTATCAGGAAATCTTCTACAACATGAGTAGCCTATGTAACTAAGAACTACTCCTGAGTTCATTTTTCCATTCAGGTAATATCTTGAAGTTTTTATCAATGAGTTGAGAGATCAGTGTCTTCTCAAACTTGATGTCAAAGTGGCTTTTAAGACCTCATTTATGATCAAAAGGAGAGCATTATCCTAGTCGCATAACTCTAAAAATGACGCTGGCATCAGATGCATTTTTATCTTCAGTACTCTCATTAGCAGCTACTGGGTGAGCACAACCTAATTACCAAGATTCGTTAGAGGGAAAGCACTTGGTGCAACTCACGGTTGTCAAACATAACTAGAACTTCCGAAGTTACCCAAATGGATGTTCCTTTATTTAACTTAAACTATGAAGTGTGTCTAGTAAAGAAAGTAATGTTGGATTTATGGACATAGTCAATTTTGTAGGATATTGTGAGTTGTAAGAACCATTTGTGACAGGTTGAAGTGTGTGTGTACACACGCAGGGTTGAACATTGTCGATTATTGAGTTTATTACTATCGTCGTTTTCTATGTGATTTAGATATTTCAAAGATACTGGAGTTGGAATATCATATGGCATCTTTTTATAAGCTAGTTGTCAGCTTTTTAATTTTATGTTAAAACCTCAGCATGGTTCAAATTGATGATTTGATATGGTTGACTGCCACCTAAAACTTTCTGGCTATCCATTGTTAGACTGGAGTTGATGAAATCTTCAGTTCAAATCGGATTCTAACGAGAATTTACTGAACTTTATGGGAAATACCTAAAATTGACCGTTTATGTTGTTAGACTGGAGTTGATGAAATCTTCAGTCTTCAAATCGGATTCTAACGAGAATTTACTGAACTTTATGGGAAATACCTGAAATTGACCGTGTATGTTGTACATGTTGCTGTCGCAGTGGGTTTTCCTGGTGCCCATTAGTCCGAATGAATGTGCTTGCTTTTCAAATTTCATGCCAGATTATACTCTGCCAAGTATATCTTTTTATTAGTTCATTCACACATTACCACTTTTCAAATGTGGCATACAAAGTATGGTTTAAAAGCCATGTTTACTAGTAACTAGTATGTGATATTTAACTTGAATGTTCCATTGGATATTTAATATTTGAGGCTTGCAATTAAAGTTCTAATTTCTTCATTAAACTTGTTGTTTTGATCATGCAAAGTTTGGACCATAATTTTTCTCAAGGGTTTGGACCGTAATTTTTCTCAAGGGACGCCTATGATTTTCTAACTTCTCCATGAGAGAGCAATAATTTTGACACCTTTCAAATTTACAGGTGAGTGTGATGATGAATTAAATAGTGACTCCAGAAGTGATGTTGAATCCATTGAAGAAATAAAGCGTGAATTTTGCGGTATGAACAGTTTTTGCGGGTTGAAGTCTAATGGATCTTTGCCCCTTGGTAGAAGCGTTAAATTACTAAATATTGAGAATTTGACTCTATTAACTCCAAGTAAAGCAACTCTTGTCAGGGACTTGTCATTGGATATCTGTGAGAAAGATCACCTGCTGGTGTATAGGTGCATTAACAGGTTACAGGGCTAAGTGGAAGTGGTAAAACTTCATTATTGAGAGCCATAGCTCTCCTCTGGAATTTTGGACAGGGAACAATCACATTCTACGACAAAAATGCAAGGGGTCCTGAGCCACATGTTTCCACCTATGTGGCTTCCAGTGAAGTAACTTCTACGAATGTGAACAATCTGAATCACAATAAACATAGAGAGAGAAACTCCAACTTTCGTCAAAAACCTTATATGGTTTTAGGGACACTTCGTCAACAATTGCTTTATCCTACTTGGAGTGAATATCCAACTTTCGTGTCAGATAGTAATAAACCAACTGGTATGATGTATTTTGATCTTGTTGCCATGTATCTAATATTTTCTCTCATGATATGTCTGAAACATGATTTCTCATCAGTCAAAACCAGTTGTGAATTGTGATCGTAGATAACTTATCTTTGTGGCATAAATTTGTTCATTAAAATCATTTTGATATAAAAGTTTAGATCATAAATTCAATCTTTGGTGCTGGTAAATATAATGAAGCATTTATTACTCCAGGGGCACATGGCATGATGAGAATGCCACGTTTTTGGCATAATTCGGATACTTCTCAGCATCTCAATTTGAGTTGATCACATTGGTTTGTGGTGATTTGTGTAATGCACATGATATGCTTTTAATCAATGGACAATAATAAAAAATATATCAATTCTATAACTGAATTTTAGGGGGTTTATATTTGAAATAAACCAATAGGAATTTTTTTTTTACTACTAGTTCTTTCCTGTTTTATCACTTTTATTTTATTATTATAAATGTACACATCAATAAACTTGTTTCTTCTTTTGTTGGATGATAGAACATCAAAATTTTAAATTATCTTTTTTAATTGTTATTGTATTTTCTTTGAGACAACAATTGTCATGGGTTGATTGGCCGAATTTACGGTGCAAGCAATCAACTGGGCCCAGAAGCAAAAGCTAAGAGGCATCAAACTTTCAGAAGAACTGTGTTTGAGAGAGATTGGAAGCTTTTATTTGAATGACAAATATACAGTAGATTATAACTTAGGAAAAAAAGAAGAAATATGTTGTAAAAAAATAAAAAATTGAGCTGCACTGAAGTAATAACTAATAACTAAGCAATTGTTTCCATTGAAGCAAATGCAGTCATCACTAGCTTGAACCTTCAGTACATAATTTGAGGTCTTGGCAGATTCAGCGCGTCTTTGGTGGCTTGAATGATGAATGAGTCTTGGTGGTTCAGTGCTCACATTGATGGGAATTACCTAGTCTGTTTTCTTTCTTCTGAGAAATAGAGCATTGTGAAATGTAGATTTGAACCTCTTAATTTGAGTTGGGTCCACGGATTAAGTTCATTTCCTGGGGTGGAATATCATGTATATGTACGTGTGGGCTGTAACTATCAATATCTTATTTATTTGTGGATAAATTGAGGGAAGGATGTTGGTGTTGGAGGTTTATTGACAGTTTGCTCAAAAGAGAGGTTTGAAATTGAAGTAATTTGTTGTTACTCTCCGTCGACAAGAGGATTTAATTATAACACTGATGGAGGATTTATTGACATTACAACTCTCTGTTGACAAGAGGATTTAATTATAACACATAGTGATGGAGGATTTACTGACATTATAATTTGTTTATTTGTTTACTATATCTAATTGTGAGGAGAGGATAGATCCATTGTATGATAATATACTATCAGAAGGCATACAAAAGATGAATTTTCTAAAAGCTTAACAACTGAAGGTATCTGTATATTAGGCAATCATCCTCGTAAGCCATAAAATGGTGTAGACAAAAATTGACTTGGCTTTGTTAATGGGGCATTTAGCTCCTCTAAGTCCTCTCTTATTCCCATAATCCCACAATCAGAAGAAACAAAAGTAGCTGAAGAATGACTATTGCCTTCCATGTAGCTTGTTTATCGAGTTTGGAATAATGTTATAGATATCGCCCACCTTGACATGATGCAAGGTTGTGAGAACTAGTACTAGAAATTATTTTTTGAATTATGTTTTCCAAAATAAAGAAAATTAACTAGTGACATGATTTACCCTTTTGCATATGACAGATTATTGTTCGACTGCAGCTCCGTACGATGGTAATCCGTGAAACTGAATAGGCTCATAAATTATAGACAAGTTCTTATAGTGTCTAAGAGTTGATGTGCTGATTATTGGGTTGCTAAATTTTGCAATTTGGAGACTTTGTATTCAAATTGTTTCTTTCATTGTGATTTGTGGCATATGAATCTGTACTGCTTCTTCTTCATGTGCTCTAGCTTTAGTACGGAAATTTCCGAGACATTGATTTTACAGGGTCACTGCCTTTTGAATCAAATAAAGCACAGACGGGATACAAGGCCATTGAAGCCAACAACTAACGATTTAATTCAAGTTCTGGAAGATGTTTGACTGGGCTATATATTATCACGTTTTGATCTGGATTCTACGTATGAATTGTCTAGTGTTCTTTCTCTTGGTGAGCAGCAACGCCTAGCATTTGCACGTTTATTGCTTTCTAAACCAAACTTGGTTCTGTTAAATGAATCTACCAGTCCTTATAGTTGAAGCCAATGAGGTAACTAGTGTGGATCTTATCTTACTCTTTGATGAATTCCACTTGCAGACGTTCCTATACATGCTCTTTATATTCAGACTTTAATGTACTAATCAAACCAGCCATTATTGCTGAAATATTTAACAGTAGGCCCCTTGAAACATTTGCAAGGGCTACAGTCATATGCTTCTTGCACACTTCTTGTAACCTTCTGTAACACAGTGCAATTTTATTTTTGTTTAGACTTCATGAGGGCCCAAGATTAATATGTACATTTTACCGAGTTCCCACGTTAATGGTTCAACTTGTAAGCCACATGGCTGTAAAATTATGAAGTACTTAGGTTCCTGGTTGAATTATCTCTAATTATTATATCTACGAAAAGCTATTCTTGAGGCTACCATAGGCGTTCACGTTTATTAACTCCTGTGCTCATTAAATTAATTTATGTTTTTCAAATTTTTATGAACTAATTAGCAGTCAAACTGAGTCACAAAAAGTGATCATGAATCTTTGCAGTGCAAGTTATTTGTACAGTAATTGCAAAGTTAAAAACATCACATGATTTGTTTTTAAAATTACATTAAGATGAACCACATTCTTTCATCGTGTATAAATAATATTGGTCTTTTAAGCTAAATCAATTTCCTGAAATATTTTGAGTACTTCCCATGTTCCTCTTTCTTACTGGTGCACTTACTCGTCTGTCAATAGTAGCTCTACATTAGCTGAAATCTCTCTCTTTTATGTCATTGATTTGCATCTCTCTCTTTTAACTATCTCTAAACTAAGGATGGTGTGGACATCTGTTACTTTATATTTCTAACACATTACTTGTGTTTCAGGCACATTCCTATAAGCTAATTGAATTTGCGGGGATCACGTACATAAGTATTGGGCACCGAAGAACCCTCTACGAATACCATAAGAAAGTCTTACATATATCCACGATGGACCCAACAACTTCGCGGCGCAATTGGAACATTCAGCCCATCAATAAGGACTTCACTTACAATCTATCAAAGCTGTAGTCACAAGCTCTCAAGGGATAGGGTATGCTCCTTTTGCTCTGTTGCTTAGGATAGTATTATTATGAATGAGGAATGGTAAATTCAAGAAAAATTCCAGATTTCATGTTCCATCTCGACATCTTTTATGTGGGATTTGTTTGACTATCATAGAAGTAGTGCAATTATTCCTATGATCCAAGCAACTTTGTTCGATTACGTGATACAATTCTTAAGATTTTAACTTATCTTCTTTGTATAATATTGTCTAGTATTATCTAGTCCATCTTACCGAATATGTTGAAAGTGGTGGTAAAATGCACGGTAGATGGAGAGAATGAAAGGGAAATAGGAATGAGTAGTTGTAAAATTTCTATCTCAAACAGGTTGAGATGTAAAAATCAGTATTCTTAAAATATAGACAACGTAATCTGTTGATGATTTTAACGTAAATTCCTAGGTTTGAGAGTCAAAAGAATAGAAGAATCTGTTCCTGAATGCATGCATAAACCTCATCTCTCGAAAATCAAACTGTAGATTGATTGTGGGATCTCTCAAATTCAACCTCACTGATTGCTATGCGAAGCATTGGATTCAATCATTATAGAGAGTAATATAAATAACTCTCTTTACCTCTAATTAAGGTACAAAATTAATTAATGTTTCAAAGTATTCGTGAAGGCGACGGCACCACTAAAAGTGGTACTATATTAATAAATATAATTAGTAAATTATGCAGTAAATGTCATATTAAACTGCGTGTTTGACCAGGAATTAGGCATGTAAAAGTGTATACATATTGCTTTTGCATGGCAGTGTGTGTGTGTGTGTGAAATAGATAACGTAGGAATCCATTTGGCTCTGAAATAAAAGGGTGGCCAGCTGCTATTAGAAGTTAGGCAATCGAGGCATTGAATTGCGTCCATTTTCCTTGGATCGGAACGTGTAAATGTCACGGGCTTTAAGGAGTTTGCTTTATTTTTCATGCACCTCTCATGTGCCCAATCCCTTTCTTTTGCCTATTTGTTTCTGCCCATATTATAATTTTTGTACCAAAGGAGAAAAGAAATATAAAAAGGAAAAAGAAAAAACTGATTACGGAGTATTTTTGGACAGAAACTTTGTATTATTAATAAACTCGAACGTCGAATGAGCAAGTGGACTATTTGAGGTGCATGTACGACTTTTAATGAGTCATCAACAACTTGGAGAAGTCGAGGAAAATGTCCCCTTCATGTTCAAGAAGAAAATATAAGCTGGAATTGGTTCGGTTCTTGCTAGCCAAAAACTATGAAATTGGATGATTCATTCTTTTAGATATGAAACGGAATTTTTAAATCAATGTCACGATGATGTAATGTGGCTCAAGATTTATCTAGCAATTGTTTAATTGGAAGTCTAATTTGTACAAAAAAGAGAGGAAGTATATATACACACAAGCATGCAATTAAAAACTATGATATTCGGGGGCGGATGCAGAGATTTAAAGTTAGGGGGGCACAATCGAACTTACAAAAAAAAGTTTGAGAGAAATTTTACAATCGAAAATTTACGTCCAACAAAATTCATACCCCGTGTAATTTTGCATCCGAAAATTTACATGTGATATAATTTTTTCGGATGTAAAATTTCGAAATTTTTTAATATTATATTCCATATAAAATTTCCTAATAAAATGATTTGAGAAATTTGTATCGCAAAAATAATAAATGTGAATGAATAACTGAATTTATTTTTAAAAAAATGCGAGTTAGAACTTTTTTTTTTAAGACTCACGTTTAACGTATTTTTAACTATTTTCGATATTTGTTTGGACTATTTGATATGCCCATAATGTTGTTTTCGAAATAAATTTTGAGATGACACAAGCAATTTGTAAATCGATTAGTGCACGATCATCAGAGAATTTTTAAAATTAGCATGTTATCGAAATTCAAATTTATTGTGATTTTGTCCTTATTTGGTGAAGATTAAAAATCAATTTTTTTGTAAATTTTGATAAAAGTTAAAATAGTTATAGATTCCATGAAATATGCTATTAAAATTAATTATTAACTTTGATTTAGATTAAAATTTAGATTTCAATCGATACCAAATATGACTTAAAAAAAAAAAAAAATTCTCAAAAGTTGGGGGTGGGACATGTGCCCCCAGGATCCCCCCGGGTCCGTGGGTGATGTTGCACGTAATGTGGTACAATGTGAAAGTGCACGGAGACTTGTCCAAGTCCTAGTCTAAGTAGGGATCTCGACTAGTTGAACTTATGTCCTTGCAATGAGTCCATGCATGGACATTATCATTTCATGTTCACAAATATGGTGAATTATATGAAATCGGAGATGGCAGCTCTTACAAATTATGTATCCAAGCTCATCCTAACCCCCAATATGATATAGACATGACACGATACGTGTTAGGATTGACATGACACATGTTAGGATTGACACGACATGAAGCGTAATCATATAGGCACAATTTATGCCTATGAATACTTAAAAAAATTGTGAAAATGGGCACGAGGTCCCCAATCCTTTTCATTTGGAACTACATGTTTACACACTTCAACTCTAATGAAATTTCCAAGTAAACGACTTGACTCCTTGTATGGCCCCCATTTCTTAAAATTCATTTTCCTCAAATTTATTTTCGATCACACATCTCATTGGATATATAATTTTTATCAATTTTTCAACACACATTTCATCAACTTTTATAAAAAATAACTATCAACCTAATTTTTTTTTATCCAAACCAAACAAGGGCATTGGTTTCGCAAATTTCTGAATAGATTCCATGCCATTATCTACAGTTTGCATTATAGGTTCGACGTGTTCTTTAAGATTCCTTTCCAGGACTATGATATGTGAAGGTTTTTTTTTTTAAATATTATTGTAATGAATAGTTAATTGCCAATTTAAGCAGACTTATTGGGCATAGTTGAGTTATTCGATTTTCTTTCATTGGCCGGTGCATATGCAAGTAACAGTAAACCCAAATGTAAAATCAAGTAAACTTTTCAATCCTGGAAAAGAACCAAGAAAAGAAGATTTTGACCCACATTTTCAACACTCCATATATGAATTATATCAATTCACACACACGTATGTGTATGCAGGTAAAGGTCGAAGAATTAATAATTAGAATGGAATGTAAGAAATTCCCTTCTTTTACTTTGAGACTCTGACCAACTATTTGGACAGATGCAAAAAAATAAGAATAATTTGACACGCAGTTAGTTTACAAATTGACAGTGTTTCAGATATTCTTGCGGCGAATTTCTGGATAGGGTCTCCCATTCAACGACATTTTCCATAATCTGCATGACAAAAGGAACCAAACACGGCTTTATTATTATGGATTCATCGTCTTTTACATGCATAGTAATTGTATATATATTAATATAAATATCCCCTTCTTATTTATTTTAATTAGTATTAAATTTACTTTATTTCTGTTCCCATCTGCAGCTTCAATTATATGAGTGAATAAATATATATTTCTCTCTCTCTCTGTGCTCTCTTTAAACAAGACTCGATTTGTGTGAAATTAAACCGCAGAAATTGGCTAACCTGTTCTTACATTTTCCCTTTAATTTGTCTATTCTCTTTGGCATTGAAGAAAAGAAGAAGAGCCCAGAAAAAGGTTTGTGATTTGTCCCTCTCCCCTCTCCAAATTCTTCTTCTTGTTTTTCTTCTCATGTCAATATCATAAACTCAGAAAATTGAGTGATGGAAGTATATATGCTTCTGAATTAAGTTATATGTATACTGTCTTTTCCTTTTTGCTCGTTATTTTTGGTGCTCCTATCATTTTCTTA